AGAGAAGAATATTCTACAGTTGAGGATATGAGGTCATACAACTTGACATTAGATGCTATGAACTTTAACAACAACTTCACAACAACCATTAACCCTGAAATGCAAAGTTCTATTATGCCATATGTGAAAGTATGGACTCATACAGGAGGTCAAAAAACTCAATATACAAATGGAGACCGTTCAAACTTTTGGCTTGGCATTCCATTTGCTGACTCAGAAGACTTTATGGGTGGTATTTCAACTGTTGGTACAGTTCAAATACAATATACTGGTGACAGAGACGGTCCAGATGAATTGAAAGCAAAGAAGTTTACAAAACCAATAGCACTTTTCACGGAAGATGCTCTTTTGAAGATTCGTTCGATGAAACCTGCTGGGGCTCCTCAGATTGGCATAACGACAGCTTCCATCGAGCAGATTTTGGCAGCAGGTCAGTAAGTTGTTCTTGAACTGACTTCTCTCCGTCAAATATTGACAGTACGCCAGTTTTGACATAATATTGTATTATAAACTTACCTTTAGAAATATCGGTCAGTTTTGTTGTTATATTTTTGTCTGCTTCAAGAACTTTCACCATTTCAGTTATACCAACTTTCTTTGCTTTATGAAAATATTTTGGTTCAGCAAAGACTGCTATTCTATAACATTTTCCATTGTTTGTGTAAAGAACTATTCTGTCAATGAACTTGTATTGTTTGTGTGTGTAAACTTTGTTTTGCTTCAATTCGAAGAGATACTCGAATACGTCCATCTTTTTATTCTAAGTAAAATGTCATTTCCGAAAAATAGAAGCGTAAGTGTTTCAAAAGGTTTAATGGCGGTGGCAGATGTGAAGTTAAATTCACCAACTCAAACAAACAGTCAAAGTGTTGTTGTCAATGTCAAAGAAAGAGATGTTGAAGTGGGGAAACCATACGAAGACGAAGATGGTATAACAATAGTTCCTGTAAAAGAACAACCAACATATCCTGAAGTTAGCAGAGACTTAAGTTCTGTTGCAGATATTCGAAACGACTACCAACAACTTAAAGACAAACTTAAAACTCAGGAGAAGATTTGTCAAGCTTTGGGTATAATGTTAAACTTGGTCGAACACAACCCTGTAAAAGTGAACTCATATGTCATCGCACCTCATGAAATTTTGAAGAACTATTGAAACTTTTGACAGAGGCAGACGATATAAACATCAAAGAAATAGAACCCGACATTGCTTGCTGTGGTGTTTCAATAATGTCATTGACAAGATATACGTTATGAAAGGAGGTGAAACGTTGAACTTAAAATATAGTTTCCCAGACGTCATAAAAATATTTGACGACCACAACATTTCATTAAAATTTACTTGCTAAGTAAATGGCAGAAGACATAGTGGTTATACTATTACGACTAAAAACCCTGAGTCATATAATTCTATAACAACAAACTTACAAGTCCTCAAGGACGATATTGTAAACTGACCTTAACACGATGACGACTAAAGCCTGTTTTGCTCTTTGACACCAGAAGATTTTATTGTTGTGAATGGTAAAAATACTTCTTTGAAGATACTTACTCAGATATACCACCAACAGGTTTTTGTTGACTTATTTAATACTTTAAGGACGGATGTAACATGTGCTGCAACTAGAGCAGGTTTCATTATGTTTGGATGTCCGACTGAGTTTACTATAAACGATATGAGCTATAATACAAAACTTATATCTGGTTTTTACTACCAACAGTTTCCTATAACAGGAAAAGGTGTCATACAAGGTTTGTCTGTTCCATTGACTTTAAGTACACCTATTTTATTATTGTTTCAAACTTAGGTTCAAAGTGCTATTCGAATGTCGACAGAAACTACTATGACCAAAAAGATACTCATGCGTATAAACAACACTTTCTCTGCTGGTTTGCCTATTGTTCATTCGAATGCAGAGTTTTCAGCTTTAGTAAACTCAAACACTTTAGCAAACATAAACTTAACCTTAGTTGACGCAAACTTTGTTCCTGTAAAACTTTTATGTCCTATGTATTTGTCAATGACGGCAGAAAGTTTCGAATTGGAAGATGCAACTGGTGAAAGTATTGTATTACAAGAACAACTTCAACAACAAATAGCTCAAGAACAACAAATGCAACAAATGGAACAACAAAGTCAAGAATAAAAAAAATATTTTTTTTTATTTTTATAAAAATGTACAGAATAGACGTTTCAGATTTTTATGACTTCCAAGCGTTCAGAAATATGTGTCCATTTAGAGACTATAACAAAGCAGTCGAGAATTTGAAACGTTTAGTCATTTATGTCGACTCTGCCCAGAATGTTATGTCATGAAAGAATGGGATGTTGTCTTTAACAAACCAAGAGCAACCATAGTTCAGAACAAGAATGTAGACAGAAACTTAAGAAAATAAAAGTCGTACAAGTTGGTATGAAGATGTTAGATGCTTGGGATATCTTATTGTCAAAGTTAGAAGATTTTTCAGTTCGTGGTATAAAGTTCTATACACCTTCTCCAAACTTCTATTCTATCTTCACTGGATATAAATACGAACAAGTAGAATGGAAAGAAAAATGTTATAGAAGCTTGGTTAGACCATGTCAAAGAAATTATATGCAATGGAAACGAAAGAGTCTATGAGTATATCTTATGTTGGTTTGCAAACATCTTACAACATCCAAGTGCTAAAAATGAAACTGCTCTCATCATAATTGGAAAACAAGGAACAGGTAAGAACACTTTCTTTACAGATATCTTGTGCAAACTGTTAGAGGGCTATTCGAACCCTAATATGACAAACTTAGAAAACATCTGCGGTAAATTTAACTCTTCAATAGAGAATATGAAACTTATAGTATGTAACGAACTTCAAAGTATAGATACAACAAAGGTTTTAAACTCAGATGCTTTGAAGAGTCTTATAACAGACAAAGTTGGAGTTGTTGAAAGAAAATAAGACCAAAGAGTTTGTGAAAATGTTTGCAAATTTCATCATGGTTTCAAACAATCGCCGTTCCGATGAAGTTAGAAAGTTCTGACAGAAGATATGTAGTTGTCAGAACGTCAGAAGCTCATATGCAAGATACAGAATATTTTGACGACTTAGCAGAAACTTTGACACCTAACTTTTACAACCACTTGTTCTCATATTTCATGACATTAGATATTTCAAAGTTCAATCCAAGACAAATTCCACATACCGAAGAAAGACAAACATTGTTAGAAGCAAACAAGAGTGTATATGAACTGTTTATAGATGAGACTAACTTTGAGTGTTTAGATGAAAGGTCATTGTACGACTCGTATAAACAGTATTGTCAAGAGTATGGTTATATGGCAGCGTCTAAACGAACATTCTTGGCAAATGTCAAAAGTCTTTTAGATGTTCAGAACGGCGTATATACAAAGAAAAATTTTTCTGAGTAAATTTTATAAAAAATATTTTTTTATCCGATAGAAAAGATGATGAAATTCATCTCAGTCAACAAATATATGTCAGGACTTAAAGAAGAACTAGACCCATTCACATATTTGAATGTTTACTTCTACCATTTTGAAAAGTCTTCATTCAGCAAAGTTTGGAACATCGAACCAGTTAAGTTTGCTATTGTGACTAAAAATGGTGCGAAATTTGAAGACTTAGACATAGAAGGTTTGTTAGCAGTCAAAGAAAGTTTTGACAGAAGGTTTTCAAACCTTAAAGAAGGCAAAGCATACAAACTTGTTATACCTTATGAACCAAAGAAAGCAGACGACTATGAATATTATGAGTCTAAGATAGTTGAAGTTCAAGGTAAATTGGGTAAAAAGATTTTAGAGTCTAAGCCAGTGTTTGCTCCTAAAGAGGAAGAGAACATTGACATTGACCCAGAAATGTTCTAAAAATAAAATTTTATTTTACATGTCAAATTTCTTTTTCTCTGGAACTGGTTCAGGTTCTTTCTTCTCTTCTTCTACTTTCTTTTCTTCTACTTTCTTTTCTTTCTTTTCTTCTACTTTCTTTTCTTTCTTTTCTCTCTTCTTCTTCTTCTCTGGTGGAGTTATGTCAAATTTGGCGCAACCATATTTATGTAAAAGTTCTTTGTCCTTTAATAGCTCTTCTATTCTGTTTTCTATTTCATCTTCAAGAACAGTGCATGTGTCTTCTTTGCATTCTAAGAAGTTTTGTTGGACTTCATCTCTCCAAGAGGCGTCATCTCTGTCAACAAGTCTGTCATTGACAAATTTAAGACTGCTCTGCTTAATGTTTTATGGTTCTTGTCATATTCCCAGAAACAGAACTTTAGAACAAATTCCCCTTTCTTGTTTACACTATGTAAGATTTTATGGTCGACAGATGTTTTGCTGTCGAAAAGCTTGTCTCGAATATAGATAGCGAAATCGCTAGACATTTTCTAAAAGATAAAATTTTAATTTTTCTAAAAATATGTTAGAAAAAAAAGTTTGCTGACATTGACAAAAAATTTGAGAATGTTTTAAACAAGAACAAGAGGAAGTTAGAAAATGCTCAGATAAAACCCATACATGACAAGTTCTTATTTGCTCAGAATGGTATAACAGGTCTAATCGCACCACCTGGGTCGGGCAAGACTTTCACTTATCTTAAAATGGCTGCACAACAACAAGAACTAGATGAGAAGAACCCATTCTATGAGTTAGTAGTCATTTGTAGTACTTCTGGTCAATTTGACCAAACCGTAAATTCGTTCAAAGATATTATAAAAAAGTCTAAGTTAGTATGTATAAAAGACTCTGAGTTGTTGGATTGGATAAAGAAGTACCAAAAAGAGTTTTGAAGTACAATGCTATAAATGAGTATGTCAATTCGAGGTTTAAAGACCCAAATGAGGAAATGCAGAGAATATTAGAGAAGAAACACTTCAGAAACAAACAGAAAGAGATAGAATACATTTCGAAGAAATTGCAATCTTACGATTGGAAGACTTACCCTCACAGATGTCTTCTTATCTAGATGACTTTGCTTCTCATCCTTTGTTAAAGAACAGAGAACAAGATATGTGTCGAATTCTTAAGAAGCTCAGACACTTTAACATCTCAGTTGTCATTTGTGTACAGACAGCAAAGAGTTTAAGTAAGGATGTTAAAAGAATACTTACTGATATCATACTTTTCCCTGGATTGTCCGAAGACGATTTCATGGAACTTATGAAAGAGTCCATGGCAGGTAAGTTTGACAGACATGAACTATGGGAGAAGTACAAAGTCATACAAGACCCTCATACTTCTTTCAGAATTCACATCTACGCGAACAAAGTTCAAATTGTAAAAAGTCAAGCTTGAAAAATAAAGAGTTTTGGCGACCAGGGTTTTTTCACTACTCGCTGTTCTTCTCTCGGTTTTCCGAGGGAAGCAAGCATATGAGGAAATTCATGAAATTTCATACGGAATTCAATAAAAATAATGTTTATGTTAGAATGTTAGATCTAACATGTTTTCTAACATGTTTTCTAACATAACTATTTACAAGCGTTTTACATGGTATATGTTGCGATGGTTCATGACTCTAAACAATTTCGTAGCTTCTATTTCTTCACGAAGGATGTCAAAAGTTTTAACGATACCGAAAGTTTCTTTATACTTCTTCTTGACGTCAGATAGAAGGAAATCGTCAGCAGTTGGATAGTTTTTGTTCAGAAATTCTAACATGTTCATTTTATCTTCTGCTGGTTTTTCTGCTTCTTTCTTTAAATCTGCATAGTCGTTTCGCATACGTTCTATCTCTTTGACGGAGTAGTTATATTTCCTCATTGCTGCTTTACATTTTGAACATTGCGGGTTCATTTTTGCGTTATATTCTGAAACCTTACCTGCTAAAACAACCAAGGCGTCAATGGTTTTCTTCATCTCGAACATAGCGGGTTTTATTTGTTCGTTCCATACCTTACCCCTACTATCTTTATCTCTTATTTCCCAAACACATTTTGCAACTAACGAAACAAAGTTGTCGTAGGTCTTAAATTCTTCGGATTTGTAAAGGTCAGAGATGTTCTTATATACCATGTCGCAATCTTTGTCCATGACTTTGTGGTTGCAATGAAAACCAAGGAATTCATAATTTACCTTTCGTATGAACTTCTTTATTTCTACTGAGTCAGTTGCTTTGACTTCTATTTCGTCAAATTCGGGAATGGTTAGTTTTTGTTGTTGGATTTCAGGCAATTTGGGTAAATGGTCAATAATGTCCTGCATTTCATAAAGATACTGTTCATTTGTTTCATCTTTCGCACTACAGTCTAAATTACTTGTTAAAAGTTCTTGCTTTATCTTCTGGATTTTTGTTTCGAAAGTATATGAAGAAGGAATGAAGCTTTTCATTTCTACTAACATAGATGTTGGATTCATGACTAACGAGTTTAGTGCTGTAGTTGCTAACATGTTCTTACAATAAAAATAAAAAAATATTTTTTTAAAAAAACCAACTTTATTTTTTATTTCGGGAAAACTCATGAAAATTCAAGAGTTTTAGACCATGTTAGAAAACGTGTTAGAAAACATGTTAGATCTAACATTCTAACATAAACATTATTTTTGCTGAAAAAGTGTCATTTTTTTCATGTCCGAAGACTCGAAGGTGCAACACTTCCAAAATACCGACGAACTCAGAAGAGCAGCATGGCAGTATGTTCTTGACAACTTCTTTGAGTTCTCCAGGTACACCTTGGAAAATGCTGAAGAACTCCGACACAGAGAATTTGGAGAAATTGCACTCCAATACTACCTTGACAAACAAAGGGTAAACAAAGGGTAAACAAAGGGTAAAATAAGACTAAAAACTTAACGTTTAAAAAGTGACATTTTTAATGAGCTCCGAGTCACCGAGAAAACTTGGTCAGATGTTAGCAGCTTACTTCCCTGAGGAGATGGAAGCGTTACATACGTAAGGTTCAAAAACAACGAACCTGGAATTGCGTACCAAATTCGCAATTACATGACCATGGAAGAGTACGAAAGGTTTCTACAAGAGAAACCAGCTCTAAACAACTCAGAAAAGAAAGAGTAAAAAGTTTAACTCGTAATTGTTTATTTTTTTACTTGTATGGGCAAGCTGCAAGAATGAAGTCACTATCTCCGTCTTTGTCTTGACCAGTTGGACTGCTCTTGCGAGTACGTCTGTTTTGCGGTCTCCAGCTGGTGTCTGACCTTCGTAATTGCGCATGTTCTTGAGAGCTCCAACTGTAAATGGTTGTAGGATGAAGAGTCTCTCAGACTGCTTGAGGTAGTCTTCACGGTCACGAACCGAATCTGTGGTACGAGTCGAATCGGTCGACTTTAGGGAAGAGACTGAAAGCCTGTCTTCTTCCATTGGGGTAGTAGCATACTCTTTGCGTAAGCGGTTCAGACCTTCCTCGAACTCTTGGTCTCTCTTGGATTGAGATTGGAATTGTGGGGCAGGGTTTTGCATAAACATCCAAGGGTTGGGGAAGTAAGGCATAGGCTGAGGAGGAGGGTAGTTCGGGAAGCCTTGTGGTAGGTAGTAACCTTGAGGTGGAAATTGGTAGTAATTTGGTGGAGGGACTTGCTGGAACTGAGGTTGCTGAGGTGCAGGGGCTGGTGCTTTAGGTTCCTCTGGTTTGGGAATGGGCTCGGTTGGTGGTACGTCGGACATCTGTTTGTGGCTTAACCGTCGGAAGGAAAAACCTTTCCTGTCGGAAGGAAAAACCTTTCCTGTTGGAAGAAAAAACTTTTCCTGTTGGAAGGAAAAATTTTCCTGTCGGAAGGAAAAACTTTTTCTGAAGTTCGACCAAAAGTTCTCAATTTTCGAAAATTTGAATGGTTTACGGACGGACAACTGGAAGAGTCCTTCCTGTCGGAAGGAAAATTTTTTCCAGTTGTCGGGAAAATATTTTCCTGTCGGATGGAAGGACTCGGAATACCAGAAGGATTTGACGAGGCAATTTACCTTATAGAGATAAATGAAGTTGTTAAGCAGTACTTGCGCAGGGTAATGAAGCCCAAGGTCAAGTTCACCACTATTTCTGGAAGGTCTACACTTCAGCTCGAGACTTCGACTGGAATTCCAATTCAAATACCAGACGGGACAGCCTACGATGGCATAAAGGACGCCAAAAGAGAAGCTCTTGTTAAGTTCCTAAACAAACGTCCTTGGATAAAAATACCAAACAAGGAGAACCCCCTACCCCATATGAAATTGGCAATTCAGTCTCTCCTTCACTTCTCGGGTCAGCCGTTCTACATAACCTGTGAAGGCGACATCCAACCAGTTCAGTCAACCTTAACGTTTTGAGTAAAAACATTTTTTTTCATTTTTTGAATGAAGCAAGTTAAATTCGTCCCACACCAATCTCAATGGACCGATGAAGAGTTTCAAGCCATGGTTGAAGGCGTTGAGAACGACATAGACGGCGAACTTGAAGGAGCTCAAACCACAATTGCAACCAAAATTGCACAAGTCAAGGAACAGATAGCTCCACTTAAAGCTACCAAAGCTACTCTTGACCTCATGGATAGTTACCGTTTAGAAGTAAAGAGTGGAATAAGACAATTAAAATTAAAACTCTTAAATTACGAAGCTATACTCCAGAAGTTAGCAGAAATGAGAAGACTTTACCAGAGCTACTTACATGTAAGGGACTTACCTTCAAGCAGTCCGACCAAAGATGAATTTTCTGACATTGTCCCAATTTTGTCCGAAAGTCAGCTCAGATGTTTTGAACTGCTCCCAACATATCCAGAATATGAACGTTTGCCTGAACTCTTCCGCAATCTCAAAAAACGTTTTTTGGTTCTCATGTTCCAAACTTTTATCGGAAGAGACAACAAACGTTCAGAAGAAGAACAAGATATTATTTTAAACTTGTTGTATGACTTAACCGTCATAACAAGCTTTTTGAAGTAAAACCGTCATTCTCAAACCACTTCATTTTTTCGATGTCCGAACAAGCACCGAAGCCGAACACAATGGCAGATGTCCTTTCAATGTTGCCAGACAAGCGCCCAGTTCAAATTCAAATTTTGAATTTGAAAGCTCATCTGACAAACACCGTTAAGACTCTCCAAAGTAGTCTTATGGAAGAGATGAAGGGACTTAAAGGTGAGTTCCTCATGAACCAAGCTTCCAATGAGAAAGTCCTGAATGATTTGACGGAAACCTTGCGCATTTACGCGAGAGAGAACCGAGACCTTGCCAGACTCATCTACCGTTTCTTCGAAGAGATAGATGCCATCTGGAAGGTACTCGGAAAGGACAGAACATGCAACACCGTAATTCGTGAGCACCAAATTGAAGAAGGAATTTTCGAGGAAGAAGAGGAACACGAAGAAGAAGAGGAAGAAGAAGAGAAACACGAAGAAAAGGAAGTTTGGGCAACCCTTGTTGCCGATGACAGTTATGAAATTTCCCAACCCTACCCATACAAAATCCGCAACAAGGAGACCGGCAAGGTTCTTACCCCAGTCCTCAACAACTTGGGACACTTGACCCTTACCCTTCGAAATTACGGTACAATTTCCATGGGAAGGCTTGTCGGTATGCAATGGGTTCCAAATCCAAACAAGAAGACGAAGGTCAGACACATTGACGGTGACAAGCTCAACAACCGTAAGGAGAACCTCGAGTGGTTCTAAGAGTAAAAAAATTTTATTTTAGGGGGAAACCCCAAGTAAATTTAGGTGTTTATTTGGATAAGTATGTGAAATTAAGGTCAATTTGCAAAATTAGTTCCCGACCTTTGAATTGGACTCTTTCGTCATCCCAGTTGCGTAGGAGGTCGTCCCAGAGGAGTTGGTAGATTTGCCAATCCAAGGACGATTTGTCCTCCCAGGCATTGAGGATGTACTGCTCGTAGAGTCTCATGACCTCTCCCTTGCACCAGACACCCTCTTCCTTGGAACGTAAGGCTTCTTCGAAGTGCTCGAATGCGATTGGCTGCTTGACCATCCGAAATGACACTTTTTGTCCGTTTGGTCAATGTTCGTGTCTCGTGCCATAGTCGACGAAAATACAGACAAACAGGTTATATATGAGTTTGAGACCAAGAATGGTGTAACTCGACCTGTCCGATTCAAATTCGAATAAAAATTTTTTATTTCATGCAATGTTTAACTATTTCACCATCTTCTTTAACACCCCAGTACTTCCTTTTCGATATTACATGAACTTCGGTGAAAATTTTGTCCAATTTGAATTGACCCATCTTTTCACCGACCATGCCCATTTCAATGAGTTTGTTGTACCCTTCTTCGTTCGTCATGAGTGCGTCGATGTTCTCATAGTAAACCTTGACTTTGGATTTGACTTCGGAGAAGAATTTGTTGTACTCGTCAAGGACTGCTTTTGCGAACTGAGGGTAAGACCAATGTTCGACAATAGGTTTTAATGTGGTTACTAAGCCACTTTCACCTTCGGTAAATTCGTATTTCAAAACAAAAGGAGAAAACCTTTCAACAAAGTTGTCGACCTTCTCATAATGTTTACTCTTCATCTCTTGAGGTTTTTTAATGGAATACCCCCATGTCGAATTCATAAGCAATTTTAATGTCATTGCAAGTTTGGGGTTTGAAGCTTTCCTAATATCATACAGTTGTTGTATGACTTTTCCAACTGTATAGTTCCTTCCTGGGAACTCACCATCTTCGTTTGGAATTCCAGTCGGGATATATTGGACGAACCTCATGTATGCGGCGTTAAGGTCGACATAGTATATTTTTTCATCTGAGTCGAACTTATCGCATCCAATCGGACCAGTTTTTGGAAATTCAAGCGAGTCTCTTATCTTCTGAGAAACTTCTCCTGTTATCTCATAAACATCGTCGAAGCAACCTGTTTCATATAAAACCTTCTGACCTAACTCTGATGCTCTCCAATACAATTTGACGTCGATTGGATGTCTCAATGGGAGTTTGTTTATAGCATCTTGAAGTTCTTGCAACCTCATTGGAAGTTCTTCTGGTTCAGGTTGGTATCCGAACAATCCAACTCCTTTTGGAACTGTGTACTTCTTTTGTACTAGAACTTTGTCTGGAACAACTTTTGGTCTTGCTAACAGTGAAAAGTTTGTTTCGTCTTTTGGTACAAAACTTTCTGTCAGCTTGTCATCTGGAATCGGTTCCAACAAACCTTTCTCGAAAAGAATGTTAACAGCTCTGACAATGTTGCACTTGCCTTTTCCGAACAATGGGTTTGTAAGACTTTCGTTCAACATGAAGTGGGTTGTGGACAAGTACAATCTTCAACCATGGTAAGTCTTTGTCAACAACATAGTCGTCATGTGAAGAACCTTTAGCTGTAGGTATGTTGACTCGGATATTCACATTTGCCAACGGTGCAATCTTTGTCAATTGACCTCTGAGAATGTACCTTGTCTTCACACATGACTCAAGATACTTCATCTTCTCATCTGTAACAAGACCAGAGTTCCTGAGACATGTAAGAATGCAAGGTTCGTTGACAATTTTTTCAATTGAATTGTAAATTCCATACCTTGTCAAGTCAATGTCAGACTTATTTCTGAACGGGAAGTATCCAGCATGTTGTCTGACTGCTTGAGGGTTAGGTTGGTACCATTCGAACTTGACACTTGCAATTCCTTCAATTGCATTCAAAATGTCTGAGTCGGAGTCAACCATTTGTTCTCTCTTTGTAGTCTTGAAAGCGTCAAGAAGTTTTGCAGCTGTTTGTTCATTGCCATTTGCATAGTAAATGTGACCATCCAAATCCGTTATGGTCAATCTGAGATTGTGTCCTTTCTTATTTCCGTCTTGTATGGCAGCAAGTACACCCATGAAGCCTTCTTTGTTCTTTCCTTCGTCAAAGTTTACTGTAAAGGTTCGACCAGATGTAATTTGACTTCTAACTTCACGGTACTTCTCATATGCATATCTTGTTCTTTCCATGGGAGCATGTGCGTCTTCACCTTTTCCTTTTTTCCTTCTCAAAGGATGCAATTGTTCGTCATGTTTCCAGTAGAATCTGGCAAAGCCGTCGTGTCCATCAACCTGTGGCTCATTAACATTGAAAGGCATGTCCATAAGACGTTCTTCTTCTAACCTCTCTAGTCTGTTTGGATAATTTGTGCGTGCTGTTTCCAATTCCATTTCGTAGCGAAGACCAGACAATTTGTCATAGACTTTTATGGGTCTTCCCTTCCTATATTTAAAATTCTTCGAAACTTTCCAACCATATCTTTCTAACTCTGCTTTTATTCTAGCAGATTTTCTATCCATTCTATATGGGGGCATTTTTATAAAAATAAAAAAATATTTTTTTCTTTACTTTACATAACCACCTGCTGCCATAAGTCTTTGACGCCAACCCATACCAGCTAATGAAGGTTGACTTGGTTTAGTTTGGAAACTAAACTTTGGTTTTGGTTTATCTTCAGTTTTTGGTTTCTCTTCTTCTATCGGTTTTTTCGTCACTTTTCGGTTCATCTGACTTTACCTCACTTGCAGGTTTAGTTGTGTCGTCAACATCTTCATAAATATCATATGCCATTTGTTTTTGTTTTCCTTTCAACTTTTTGTGTTTGTTGTAAAGTTTAGAATATTTCGACTCTAAGTCAATGAGATGTTCTATAATGAACTGTTGGTCAGTGAAGTAAACTTTTCCATCTGTTGTCTCGAAAGCTCCTTCAGACTTCAATATTTTATTTGTGAGAGTCTGTTTCTTTTTTGAGATACTAGCCGTTCCATTTCTATGAAAAGTGACTTTATAGTTAGGGTTTGTATTTCCAGACCTGGCACTTTCTATTATTGAATTTTTCTCTTCATCTGTAAGTTCTTTGACAGGTTTTGACAATGGTTCTGAACTTTTTGTTTGTGGTGTCAAATCTACCGTTTCAACTTCTTCGGTCATTTCATCTCAGTAAAAAAATTTAGTTTGGTTTGTTTTCAACTGGTTGTTTAGGTTTTTTAAGTCGGTCTAAAACTTCCTGAGGGTATAGGGAGGACTTGACAAACACGTGGTTGTGTAACTGCTGGAATCGACAAATCCATCTTGAACCCATTTGTCTCAATGCTGTATTGTTCATTTCATCTCAGTAAAAAACTTTACATTCCCCAAGTTTGAGGTGGTTGCGGTTGTTATTGTTTACCCACTGTTGTGCATGGTTATATCCTCTGTTAAAGAATCTTTCACCTTGGTCCATATAGTGTCCTGCTTGGTTATAGTAGTCATTTGCTTTGTTATATAGTTTCCTGCTTGTCTTCCTACATTGTCCATCCATCCTTGAACTTTTCCTCTTGTTTCAGGATTTGGAATAAGATTTGCTGCATCTCGTGCTACATCCCAACCTTTCTGTACAGTTTGTATAATAGGTTGTGCTTTCTCTTTCAGTATACCTAATGTACTCAAATCTTCCTTCCAACTCCAAATACACCTCTGGCTATTTTCCACTGCGGGTAAAAATCTAGATGCAACTCCTGCTAATGCGCCAAATAAACCCATTTCTTATAGGATAAAAATGACGAATCCAAACAAGGACCCTATGTTTCTAAGGCAACAAAGAAAGCACTCATGGTAAAAATCTTTAGTTCAACACCAAATGCTTGGTTTATGGATATCTTGGAAAACATTCCGAGGTATAGAGAAGATGGACCTCCATACTGGCTAATATTTGTTGGTCAAAACACAAGATACTGTGAAGCCATACCATTAGGTCCAAAAATATTTTAGATGTAAAACTGCTTTGACAATATTCGTGACAAATACCATCCAACAAAACTGACATCTGACTGTGAAAGTTCTTTCAAATCACGATATTAAAAACTATCTGCGTTCAAAAAATGTAAACCAATATTTCATTGTCGACCAAAACCATTCTGCTCTTGTGTCATTGACAGTTGTATAAAAATCTTAAGAGACTTAAACCAACCACAAGGTGGTAAGCAAATGAAATGTCATATGACGACAAATATAGACATTTCTCCATGGCAAAGTGAGACAAGTTTTAAATATTTACAATAACCGTAAACAAAAGGTTTGGGAAACCACTCCCCCGAAGAAATGAAAACAACCCCGACTTAGAGAAAGACTATATATTTAATAGTTTAGTCAAAAGAGACAAACAAGAAAGAATGCCAGGCTTCAAACTTAAGAAAGGTGACAAAGTAAAAATAGAAAATACCTAAACGCGACCCATATGAAAATACTATTGACTATGACAACAATGGGAACCCGACAGGTACTCACCTTCGTGTTCGTAAAAATAGAAGAAAGTATACAAGAGAATATTATGAAGTTTTAGGCAAACATGGCAAAATGTACAGACTGCAAGCAGAAGATAAAACTACTATTGTCAGACCTCGTTTCAAACTTGTTAAAGTTCAAGGTGGTATACTTTCAAAGACAGTTCCTAACAAATATAAGACAACTCTGACGAATATGCTAAAGAAGTTGAAATGACGACTAACCAATTCTATACCATGCGTAAACTGTCATGTAAGGTGGCATGTAGTCTTTACTTTGTCCCGTTGTTTGCGTATACCCTGAAACGAAATGTGTATCTCCTCCTACCTCAGTGTTATCCAAGTAACAATTTATAGCAAACTGAACGTTGTCTTTAACATCATATCCTTTACCTTTTGTCATTCCTGTCCAATCCCAATATTTATGCCTATGCCCACCTTCTCGAGATGTAGTTAAACTTACGTAGTGACTGTGCGCAGGTAAATTTGCACCTGAAATCGTTTTACTTCCACCTGTTTCCTTTGAAGAGTTTGCACAATACAAAAACCTGTCGACTATTTGAGTCCAAGTTCCGAGACCAAGTACTACTTCTGGTCTGGTAGAGTTCATTGACGTGTAAATAGAACCTATAGGATATACTGTTTGAAGTATTTCTGTCTTTAACGTTTGAAGCTCTGTTTTGTCAGCTTTTTTATCATATAAATCTTGAGCAGTGAATTTAACTTTTTTTTCATCCTCCATGACATAGACAT